TTCCGATCCCGATCAACAGAGTCGCGAGTGTGAAGATTTTTTTCATCGTCGTCGGTTCAAAGCGGAGAAAACAAAGTCTGTCGGTTCAATTTTTTTTTTTTTAATCCGAACCAATGGCTGAACGCCACGTATGTGTTCTGGACAGTTCTCAAATGTCTCATATGAGAACATGTTCTGGGCTTTTATTTCATTTCTGATTTATTTTTGGGCCAGTTGAAGTTTAGAACACCCCTTAGAACACCCCAATGGACTTGCTCTTAAGTCTCAACTATATCCTGGATCTATTGATAACAGAGTAGAGATGAGAAAGCAAAGCAAAACATACATCCTAACACAAAACAGAACAGATATATTTTTTTTTTTTCCGGAGAAATGTTTTTGTGACTATCTTTTAGTGACCCCTCTAAAACATGATGTGTGTTTGGTCCATAAAATCTCCCTAATGTTCAAAGCGTTCCTCTTTGCTTGAAGACCTTGGTATGGTATGCTTGTAGATCTACATACATGCATACATACCTTTAAAAAGCATAATGAAATCTTATAACTTCAGGAAGAGTGGCATATGCATCATATGTATCATCCAAGACCACAGCTTTTGACGTCATGAATTCCTCCATTATTATCTTATAGTTCTCTCTTTCCATCTTCCTCATTTCTTCAACAGCTGCTTGTTTGGTAACACCATGTTGCTTCATGTAACAATTGACTCCATTTGCCACCTCTCCTCTGCTCATCTCTTGTTGTTCATCTTGGTTGCAAACTGCCAACTATAGATAGTTTGCAACCAACTATAGAGGATCAGCAAGATATGAGCAAATGAGAGGTGTGAAATGGTGTCAACTGTTACATGAAGCAACATGGTGCTACCAAACAAGCAGCGGTTAAAGAATCTAGGAAGATAGAAAGAGTGAACTAAACGATAATAATGAAGGAGTTCATGATGCCGAAAGTTGTGATGTTGGATGATACATGTGATGCATATGCCACTCTTCCTCAAGTTATAAGATTTCTTGATGCTGGTGCGGCTCGTCAACGTTGTTCCTTGCATCAACAAGAATTGCCTCTTTGGACATTTACGGTTAAAAAAAAAAATGCTATACTAATTTCCTATATGTATGTGATTTTGAATTTATATAAGTTTCGTTTAACATGTATTGATAATTATCCCCAGTCCCTTGTGTATTGACACCCTAGTCGAAGATAAGATTCTCTTTTACGTGTTTAAGCCTTAATAGAGGATCCAGATGATGGGAACTGAAACTTTAGAGCAAGTTAGCTTCTTTGTTCAAGTAAAAATAGTGTCCAGAAAAGAAAGCTTATGAAATCGAAATCAAACATATTACGAAGAATATATGTACTCGATTGACAAAAACAGAGTAATTCAACAAACTTGGGTTTAACTAAAAACAGAGTGCGTAAGAGAAATGATTTTGAAATAGAAATCAAACATAAAATCGACTCCAACTGTCGAGATGATCATAACATTAGCCCTTTTATTTTC